GCTGTCCCGGACAGGCGTTCCTCGGGCTTTCTCCCCAAGTCCTGTCCCAGAGGGTGCGGCTCTGTCCCGGCCCTGCCCCGCACCTCCCCTCACTTCCAAGGAAGTCTGACGGGCAGATGCGGCCATTCATCACCGCGTCTGCCGGGGCCGCCGAGGTCACATCACCCACGCCCCCTCCAGCGTCAGGAGTCTGGAGCGTGCACCAGGACTCCCCATGGCTGTGCCAGATGTCGGAGGGGAGGCCGAACTGGGGCCCGAGAAGATCTGGCTGAGCAGCCACGGGGAGAGGCTCCAAAGGGCTCGGAGGAAAAGCCTCAAGTCTGACACACACACACACTGAGCAGGCCAACCCCCAAGCAGGGTACCCCGCTGAGGCCTCCCCCAGTCCAGGCACGAGGCAGGAGAACTGAGCAGTTCCCCCTCACCACTGGGTACGGCTTTGGGAAAACCAGCGACTTCCATCACAGCCGGAAACCAGGCTTTCTCCCTCCGGGTCACAGACTGTGCCGTGCGGGGGGCTAGGCCTGCTGTCTAGCCACGCTGAATCCACTGGGGACACCTGGCCTGCCCCCCAGAAGACTCGTTCCGGCACAGGGCAGGTGCTCAGGAAGCAAGTCTGCCGTTCTCGTCGGGTGCAGCTGCCAACGCTGGGCATGTTGGACCAGACACGGGCCCTGCTCTTAAGCATTCATAGCCTTGCAGGACAGAACAGCCACACCTAGAAACCACCATGATGGGAGCGAGGAGAAGGTGGGGACCATGAGGAAGACGTACAGGAAAGAGAAAGAGAGGCAATCAGGGCAGGCTTCCTGGAGGCAGCATCTGCAGAACGCTGAAGTTCTAAGGCTGGAATTCACTGGCCACGGCCCATGTGAGGAGGGCCAAATCCAGGCCACCATCTGTGTTTGTATGACTCACGATTTAAGAATGGTTTTTATAATATTTTAATGGTTGCCGTTTAAATAGTTATTTAAATACCTACTTAACAGCCTTGATTTTTGCTTCTCGACCATTAAGACATGTACTATTTATGAGCTGATCCTTTAAAAATGCCTGCCAACTCCCCTAACTCAGGCACAGAAAAGTCCCCACAGAGCAAACAAGTATCACGGCCGATGCCTGCTGAGGGCTGGTTGTAAGCTGTGTGTGCTACACTCCACGGACGTTATTTGGTCTCCACAAGAACCCTGGAAAGGGCTATTATCCCCACTTTCCAGAGAAGGAAACTGAGGCACAGAGAAGTAGTAGCTTGCCCAGAGTCTCACAGCCTTGGAGGGCAGAGCGTGGCCCAAAGCTGTTCTCCGCATCACCATGGTAGACGCCTGTTCCGTTTCCCATGGAGGAGACACATGAGCCAGGTCTTCAGCAGCACAGGGCTCGGGAGAAACAAGACTCTGTGTGGCTGGGGGGACAGGTGGGCAGAGGCCAGGGAGGAGTCAGATCGCAGTGGCCTGTGCATGCCAAGTGGGGAGTCACTGTGCAATCAACCCCCGGCCAACGACACGGGCATGGGGTCATTTCACTGCAACGCTGTTTAAAGCAGCAAAATGCTGGGAGCAACCTAAATGCCCGTCGCCAGGCAGTTAGATACATTCCAGAACACTCCTTTAACGGAATGCTAAGTAACCTTTTTAAAAGACAAGGATCTTCTTTATCCTCTTTGTATTAGTCAGCTACTGCTGCGTAACACGCAAGCACAGACTCTTAGGGGCTCACAATGAACAAGTACTTCTTAGGGGTCTACAGACCGGCTGGGCTCAGCCGGCGACCCCAGGCTGCGGGCTGGGGCCTGTCTATCCCAATCACCTCGCAGCCTCCTTGGCCCGGGGGCCCAGGGCGCACGCTCTTCTCATGGAAAGGGCAGAGGCACAGGGAGCTACTGGCAACAAGCAAAGCCTCTTATGCCCTTGGCTCAGAGGGCATCATGTCCCTTCACCTCGTCACTCTGTCTTCACCTACTGGCCTCAACCAGGGACATGGACCAGCCCAAAGTCAAGGGCGTTCCCCTTCTGTGAACGGAACTGAGAAGCTGCACGGCCAAGGGTGTGCACCCAGGGAGAGGTGGAGGCCTAGACCGACAACTCGGCCAAGGACACCACCGCAGAACAACATCCGAGATGTGTTACTATTTTGGCTCCTGGCCACAGCTGACACTGCCCCTCGGTCATAAAGCCGGCCAGGGACATGGCCTCTCCCTCCAAGGGCAAGTTCCCCAGGGGCGATGTCCACCTCTGACACAGCCCTCCAGGGCCACCCACTCACAGAGCTCAGTGTGGTCAGTATCTGTACCTCCTGCCACCTTGGAAACAGAGCAAATCACATCTGCTCCATCTGCCACACTGGACACATGCAGGTCACATCTGCTCCACCTGTCTCTGAATAAAATGCCACCTTGCACACCATGTAGGTGACATTGGTCCCCCCCGCCACCCCAACCCCTTCATTCTGCTGCATCCCCTGCAAGGCCCCCTAGTGCAGCCTAGAAGACACAGAGGGGAAGGAACACAGGCTCCCGAGAGGACCCCGCTGTGCAACCTGGGCCCCGTGCCACCCAGCACCGCCCCTCAGGCACCCCGCCTGGCCCCAGGCCTGTGTTCTGCACCGATCTGCCCCCTGCCCCCTGCCCCCGTGAACAGCGCCTCCACGGCCACCATCTCTCTTCCCTCCACTTGTGCATGTCAGGGACCGCCACAGCTTCCCTTCCCTCCGGGGTCGTCCCCAGTTCCGGTTTCTAGAAGAGCAATGTAAAGGGGTTTCCCAGGCCGAAGCCCCTTCTAGGGCCTTCAATGAATCCGAGCCATAATGGCCGCCTTTGAGACCAGGGATCCCAGCCCGTTCGGCCAGGGCTCAGAGGTCAAGGTCAGGGAAACAGTCCTGAGTGGGCCCGTGTGGGGGTGGGGAAGAGTACCTGTGGCAGAACAGGAGAGGGGGCCAGACCAGACCTTCCTGTGCCTGCGTGTACATGCGTGCTCCTACGTGTAGAGAAATGGGCCTTGACACATCTTCCCGAAAAGGGCTCCGAAAGCTCCAGCAGCTTTAACTCTGGGGATGATGAACTATAAGGTAATCCAACCCAACCCTTCTGCCGAAGCCACTTAAAAGAATTTGGGCAAAATAGTTTCAAATATGCTTCAATGCACTTAAGAATTAACAAGACAGAGAAGAACTCTCGGGCCCAGATCTGACGGCAGCAGGGACCCTGAGAAATCTCTGAGGGCTGCTTCAGCATCTGCCACCCCGGAGAACAGCTGGTGTTTCATCGGCCTGCGGGGACAAGGGGACGGAGAGCCACGCCAAGGCCCACCCGCGGTGAGGGGTCCCACGACCACCCGTGCAGAGACACAGCGACGCAGCCCCAGCCTCTCAGGGGCCCTCGGCACCCCCTCCCGATGCTCGGGTCCTCTCGGTGGCCCTGGCACAGGACACCATGTGCACAGGACACGTCTGCCCACTCGGAGATGGAGAGTCCTTCTCGTTTGCTGACTGATGGCAGGGGTTCCCTTTTGCTGAACCCCCCTTGTGTGTTACGAGGCGCTCTCGGTCCTGTGCAGGACCGCTTGGACGGCGAGTTCCTGGTTACAAACTCGGCCCCAAATCCCTCATCGCCTTGTGCCTACAGGGACGTGCGATTCCCCTGGGGACTGTAAACTCGGTTACACAGCCTACGGGGCTCGTGTGGCAGCCGGAAGCAAATGCAAATCTGTGAATGCAAATCTGCAAACTGCTCTTTTTCTTCGAAGCAGCGGTACTGCTAAGGAGAAAGTCTAGAGTCAGGAAATCCTGGGATCGATTCCCTGTTTTGCCACTTACGAGGGGCATCACCGAGGCAAGTGACTTGTGGCACCAAGGCGCATTCTCCCCGTCTGTGAAATACGGGTACTGGTGTAACAGGAACGACAGGAACGATATCCAGAATGCTCAGAGGAGCAGTGGGAGGTGTCAAAACAGGAGGCCCGGTGCCAGGCAACGACCCAGAGCACACATGTGAAGAAATACACGGCTACTGTTCCTAGCGTGAGCGGAAGTGGGTCCTGGACCCCACGGTTCAGAGCGGCGGTCTCCCACCGCTTTCACGCCGTGGCACGCAGAAACTAATTCCTAAAATCCCGCCACGCACCATAAAATAGATTCTATTTTTGCCGATTTGACCCTCCCAAAATAAGCATAATAATAATAACCTACCTTTTTGCCCCAAACTGACTTTTTTAAACACCAGGTGCCTGTACTTGTATGTATAAGAATTAACCAATCAGACACAACCTGATGATGTGACATGACCAATAAGACCCAACTCTGTTATATGACCTGCACCTTTATGGTCCAGGACAGGGCATTCACACCAGGATGGCTACTGTCCTGTTGGCTGTTGTTTTTTTTTTTTTTTTTTGACCAGCTAAGGGAAAAGCAGTCAGGCCCCTGAGCCAGGCATTGCCTGATTTAAACATTCTCCCGGCACCCTCTTTGAAAACCACTGAGTAATAGAGATAAATATTAGTGATGGCGATAGTTAACAATAGTAATGGCTATCCCTCGTGGGCCCGAGTGTGCCCCTGAGTCTAGAAGTAACGGTTTCCGCTGTCCTAAGGTAGGTAAGTAATTGGAGGACCAGCATTTGCACACGGCGGTGAGACGCCCAGACTGGCGTCGCCCGCTGCGGAAGTAGTAGACTTGCCCTCCGACCCCGGGGGCCGCTGGGCCTGGCTGGGGGGGAGGTAAGCACGTGCACCCGAGGCTGGGGCAGCCGTGAGGCCCCACGAGACAGGAAATGATCGTGCCTTTGGGGAGACAGGCTGGGGGCGGCGGGGAAGGGACCCAGGAGCTCTGCAACATGCAGAGATGATGGGAAAAGCTGGCTGAGAGCTCCTGCACGCCGCAGGAGACAGAGCGGCTGGGAAGGCTCTCGCCCCCACGCCAGGCAGCCGCCTGTGGGAATCGGCAGTGCGCCGGACGGCGGGTGGCGGCCCGGGACCGGGCGCGGCTCCCCATGGGGCCTCACTCACCCTCTCTGACTTCACCCTGGGCCTCGGGGACACTGTGGTCATCGCTGGCAGCCCTCTCAGCACTCTTGCCTCTCACGCCTTTTCTGTTGCTATTTTTACCTAAGAAAGAAAGAGAGGAATGCCGTTGTTCCACGCATGTGACAGTCGTCCCAGGACGGTGAGGCCTCAGCCGGCTTCCGCAGAGCGGCTGTCCCCACCTCTGCGTCCCCTGTCCCCAGCGAGGTGCCCGGGACGCTGAGGCGCTCCTGGTTAAAGGAGAAGCAGCGTGGTCTGGTGAGGACCCAGGGAAATAAACCCACCCTTACAAACCACGTCCACGTGGGGGTCGGTGGTCCCTATTCTGACACTGCAGGTGGCCCTGTGGTTGTGCCTGGGACCCTCCCCCCTGGGACCCAGAGAGTGATGATAATAGGGAGCTGGAACTCGGACTTCGGACCCCCGAGCTATTTCCCTCGGGCAGGGCTTCTCCCGCCCACCCTGTCCTTGGCCCTGGCCTGCTGGGCGCCTGGGGGCTGGGGGTGGGACTCCTCACGGGCCCCTAGGAAGCCTGCCTGCCCCAGCGCCACGGGCCCCTCCAGCTTCCCCCCCGCCCCCACACCTGCTCCTTCTCCCTCTGCTCCTGGACCTCGGGCCTCCCCTCAGCCCTCGGTGGGTGTTTCCTCTGCCCAGGGCTTGGTACATGCTCTCCCTTCCCCTAGCGCCCTCCCCTCACCTCCATCTAGTTAACTCCTGCTGAGCCTGCCAATCACCTTGAACTCCCAGCCGGAGGGGGCTTCCCTGCCCCCCCCCTCCTGGGTCCATGCCCCCTCTGACGCTCCCACAGCACCTGCCTTAGGTCCAGAGGCCCTGAGCAGAGGCTGGCGCAGGGGATCGGGTGCAGGTGGCCACTGAGGGAGGGCCCCAGGAGCCAGGGGAGGAGGGAGCAGAGTGGGGTGGAGGAAGGAGCTCAAAAGGCTGTATTGCCAGCTGACCTCCGACTCTACCTGATCCCCCGTGGGAGCTCTGGGGCAGGACCAGCCCACTGCAGGCCCCCCATCCCCCACTGGGGACAAGGGGCTGCTTTTCTACCTCTGGGTAGCTCTGGCCACAGACCGACCCGTTGGGGAGTGGGAGCTGTCACCTTCCGGGGACAATGCTCCAGAGATGGAGGCAGCTGTGAGCTGTCGTAGCCAGGACCCCAGGCGTGGTGGTGGGTGGGGGGGGTACCTGCAGGAGAGAGGGCCCGGGTGGGGTGCCAGCAGGCCCACCACGGCTCTGCACACCTGTGCTCTGTGGTACCACCGAACACGCGCCACACACGGCGGCCTGTGGGTGGGGGGAACTGTGTCTGGCTGTGCTCACTGCTCTGTCTCCAGAATCTGGCAGAGAACTGGCTTGAGGAAGGAAGGAAGGAAGGAAGGAAGGAAGGAAGGAAGGAAGGAAGGAAGGAAGGAAGGAAGGAAGGAAGGAAGGAAGGAAGGAAGGAAGGAAGGAAGGAAGGAAGGAAGGAAATAACCAAACAGTTGAGAACAAGAGGAGGGGCAGACCTGTGGAGAACGATACTTAGTCTGGACTTTATAAAGCAAGTTGAAATACCAAAACTGGATTGTGCCAATTAATGAAATCATTTCTGACTGTTCCACCATCACGAAAAGAAAAACTACGTATTGAAAAAAACAACTTAAATCTTCAAAAACGTCAAAGGGCAGGCTGGGCCCAGGTGAGGGCCCTCTTCCCTCCATCGTGTTCGTGGTGACGCCCCTGGAAGGGTCTCTCGTGTTCCATGGGGGCTAAGAAGTCACGAAACGAAGCATCCCCCTCGGGTCAAGGTCATCAAAGGAGCAAACACCCAGAAGGCCGGCGGGGAGAGGCTGCCCGGCCGGTGCGTCTGACATCAGCCCGACGCCACCTGGGCGTCTGTGCCGTTTCTGGGGTAGAAGTGTCGCAGGCAGTGGCCTCCGAAGGTGGCGTCTCCTGAAAGAGTCTGACCGAGGGTCTGGGGGCCCCTGGCCGTTCGCCGAAACCAGGGCTGTAACGTCGGCGAACGTGGATTCTGCCTTGGCAGGGAGATAAGACTTGAAGGGTCGGGACGGTTTTACCAAACACGCGAGGAGGGGCGGACGTTCTGGGAAAGGAAGCGCCACCATCCCAGCCCTCCCCCGAAGCCGGCCGGCCACCCAGTGACCCCCCTCTGCCAGGGCCGCCCCTCTGCAGCCTCCCCTCCCGCACCCCGATCCACGCCCACGACTAGAACGTCTCGGCTCAGCACGGGCATCCAAGAAAGGCCCAGACGTGCACCCGTGTGCCACAGCCCCGACAGGCCGATCCCCCGGGGGACCTCCATGTGGGGTGGGGGTGGGGGGGACAGGAGCGCTGAAGGTTGTGGCCAAGGCGCAGAGACACCAGGCAGGGGCCGGGCCACCTTCCGAAGCTCCGGGTGCCGCACAGGCCTGAGGGTCTGTCCCAGGGGTTGTCGCTGCACGGACCACAGTGCACCCTCGGGGACCCACCCCACCTCCGCATGCCCCGTTCCCACATCAGGAAAACGAGGTCATGCAGCACCGGCCTCGGCGGCAGGGACGGGGGGGTGGGGGTGCGAGGGGGACAACCAGCACACAGCATGTGCCAGTGCTTCGGGCAGGGCCCAAGCGCAGTGACTAGAAGACAGTTTCTGTTCTTTCACCAGCGATACCGCTGCTGCAGGGCCTCTGACACCCCGGAGCCCCGTTCCGGCCACTGAGAAAGGTCAGCCAGCCTGTGGAGGGGGCTTCCCAATCTGCCAGGCATCTTCCCGTATATTATGACATTCGGTCTCGGTGAGTGCCCCCTGAGGGCGGGAGGCTCACTCTGAACGTCATTTTACAGGCGGGGACACTGAGGCTCGGATGGGGGAGAGACCCACCCGAGGTCGCCGGCAGAGCCAGGCACAGCTGGAGTCTGGCTCCCTGTCTAGGTCCTTCCCAGCCCCTTCCTCTCTTAGAGCAAGAAAGGCAACATATGGTCCGTCCAGATGAAAGGAGAGAGTAAAGTGGAAATAGCACACAGAGAAGGAGCCAGAATTAAATCAACATCTCCATCTGGGCTGCGTGACAGGACTGAATTCCTTAAAAGTAGCAAAACGGAATTGCCCATGTGGGCCCCAGGTTCTATTTTGGTCTGCGGCGATAAATAGAATGCTTCTTGATTGATAGGAAACCATTTTTTTCCCTCTCTATACAAGGAGCTTACAGTAGCAAACCCCAGAAATTGAAAAATTCTTTGCTGCATATTTTCATTTTCCCCAGGAAATTCCAGCCGGGCAGCCTCTGCACTCCCGCTTGTGAAGGGCCCAGCCCACAGCCCTGAGCTCCCACACAGGAGGGAGGCCTTGCCCCACGCAAAGGGGGTCTCAGGAGCACCCCAGAGATGCAACCTCGGGGCATCGAGACAGACAATAATCACAGCTTTATGAAGCGCCACTACCCACACACAACTGCAGAGAGCCTGGCCCAGGAGAGCCTGCAGGTCTCTGCAGGTGGGTGTGAAACCCCACACAATAGTGGCTGCACACCCGTGCTCCCCTGGGTGTCAGCCGAAGGGCCACAGTGTGGGGAGGGAGTGGCCTGTGCCCTTGTCCCCTTCTCAGCCTGCCCAGCTCCCTCGGAAACAGGCTCCCCGGGGACCAGGTGAATTCTGAAAGGAGGCTGAGTGGCCGAAGGAGGCACTCACTTCTGCTACTCGGTGCCATGGACAGTCTGGGGTCTGGGGTAGAGGTGGGGGGACCGGTGCAATTTTCTAAGCCTTTCACCAGGGCTAGACCAACTCAACCAACCAACCAACAAGTCAACCGGCCAACCAGTCAACCAAGCAGTCAACCAAGCAGTCAACCAACCAACCAATCAACTAACCAACCAATCAACCAACCAACCAATCAACCAACCAGTCAACCAAGCAGTCAACCAGCCAACCAACCAACCAACCAGTACACCAACTAACCAGTCAACCAAACAACCAAACAACCAACCAGTACACCAACCAACCAGTCAACCAACCAACCAATCAACCAACCAACCAGTCAACCAACCAACCAACCACCAATCAATCAAAAGCCCTCCCTACCTTCTTCACCTGTGTCCTCCCCATCAGCCTCTGCCCTCCTCTGGGCCAACTCTTGTGCAGGAAGCTTGGTCTCCATCCAGGGTCCTAGGACATGAGGGACAGTCACTCCCAGCCTCTGTGCAGCCATAGCCACCTTCCCAGCTTGCAGCCAAGTAAGGAACTCTTTAAAGAAAGAGCCACAGCCGTAACAGCGGCAGCTGGGGTGCGCCGGGGACTGTGTGGGGCGCAGTTGGTGTTTGCCCGTCTCAGTTTGGGGTCAGCCTGGGAAGAGCCTGAGACAAGGCCTTGCTCCAGGAGAGTCTGTGGGAGGTGACTCCATGAAGAAGGGAAGGGACAGGAACACAGAGGGAGAAATGCCAATAACCCGGGCTGCGTGTCGAGCAGGACCCTCGGGGACCCTGGGGAACTGAACAGAAAGTGCCCGTGAACTGTCCCTGCGAAGGCTGGGTGGCGGCACGGTGCCCCGGCTAAGCTCACACCAGGAAGTCCGGCTCAGTCCCACTCCTGTGTCCCAGCGAGTAGTCCGAGGCTTGGAGAAGTCACACATGCCCCGAGGTGGCAGAGCCAAATCCGATCCCAGCTCTCTCTGAAGCCCGAACAAACTGTGCCGAACCCCTGCACCTGCCGTGCACAGACTGACTAGCCCACAAACACCTGTGGCACTCGAGTCCTAATTAACATCAAAGGTGTTTGGTAACACTGCAGCCATCCTAGGTCCCTGGGGCCCGGATAGGTTCCCAGATGAGCAGCGGACTGGATGCCAGCCAGTTACGGACACCAGCCCTTCGGGAGGTCATCCAAAGACACTCCTGGGGGTTTCACGGGTTTCACGATCCCAGAGGGGAAGCTGTGGTGGCAAGGATCTGGGAAGGTCACCAAGGGCAGAGCCATTGCCGGGAACTCCAAGCCTGGGGGTGAGGCTCCCTGGCCCCTGCGGACATGTAACGGAGACCTCGCCTCCAAAGTGCCAGCCCCGGGGCCCAGGCTGCCGTTGCCAGGCACTGAAGGCACCATCCACGGTG